AAAATAAAATTAACATAACCTAAATTCAAATAAAAATAAAATTCAAATTTAAATTTAAATAAAATAAAAAATAAAATAAAATAAAATTAACATAATCTAAATTCAAATAAAATTCAAATTCAAATTCAAATTCAAATAAAATTGCAATAAATTTAAAATAAAATAAAATAAAATAAAATAAAAAATAATTTCATGACCCCATTGACATGTTGACGAATTAATTATTTAATTTGTTCTGTTCTTTTTTTTTTTTTTTTTTTTTTTTGATGAAAATGTTATTCAAACAAATAATACTTTTTCTTTGAAATTATATTTCTAACGTACAAATCTAACCACAAATGAAAATAATATTTTACAACTACAAGGAAAAATTTCTAATTCCATAAAATGTTTTTATCATAATAATACAAAAAAAAAAAAAAAAAAAAATAAGAAAAATATTTCACGATAATGTTTGTTTTTTATTTGTTTTGTTTTATTTTCTCATATTACTTTTAAAGTAAAATTGGTCAAAGAGGGCGTTGCAATTGCATTATCGAATTTTGTTGCACCAGTATGTGTTGGTTGCTTGGTTATTGGTTGGTTGGTTGGGCGGTAAGATAAATTTTTTTTAGTGCCACCTTCTACCACGAATGTTAGCCTGATATGTAACAATAAATGATTTATACAAATAAACCATTATTATTATTATTATTATTTAATTATTTAACAATTAGCATTTTCTTTAACAAATTAATACGATTTAAAAAAAAAAAAAAACATTCCAACTTTTCCTATCAATTGTAAATATTAATATATATATATATATATATATAAATGATTTATAAAAATGATAAATAAATGATTTATACAAACAAAGATATTATTATTTAATTATTTAACAATAATAATTTTTTTTTCTTTTTTTTTTGTTTGTTAACATTTCAATATTTTCTTTTTTAACAAACTGTAATATGATTTACAAATGTTTTATTTTAATTAATTCTATCAGTCATAAAATATAATAAAAATAATTGGTACAAATGATTTATATAAAGATTGAGATATTATTTATAATTATTTAACAATAATAATTTTTTTTTCTTTTTTTTTTTTTTTTTTATAAATATTTCAACATTTTCTTTAACAAACTATAACACGAATTAATTGTATTCTCTAATTTTTATTAGCAATAATAAATAATTAGTAAAAAGATATTAATATAATTATTGAATCTTATATTAAAGAATATTATATTATTATTATTATTTTTGTTATAATTAAATTAAATTAACATAACCTTTCTTTTTAATATTTCAACATATTCTTTAACAAACTATAACACGAATTAATTGTATTCTCTAATTTTTATTAGCAATAATAAGTAATTAGTAAAAAGATATTAATGTAATTATTATAATATTATTATATTATATTAATAATATATTAAAGAATACATTATTACTATTTTTTATAATTAAATTAAATTGAATTGAATTAAATTAAATTAACATTTATTTTTAATAATTCAATATAATCTTCGAAAAGAGAAAATTAATATTATATTATTAATATTTAATATTAATAATTATTATTATTAATATTAATATTAATATTAGATAACATATACAATAATATATATTAAAGAATATATTAAAAAATATATTAAACAATATACCATTATTATTTTTGTAATATTATATAATATAATATAAAATATAATAACTATAAAATCAACATATATATATATATATATATATATATATATGTGTGTGTGTGTGTGTGTGTGTGTTTGCATTTGAAGTCAAATAATTTTTTTCTTTTTTTTCTTTTTCTTCAAACAAATGATAAAGAAAAAAAAAATCAATATGATATATACACAATCATTAATTTACTTATTTTATTAACATAATTTCAAAGATAAATATTATAATGAATATACTCATTAAGATAATGATTGATAATATATATATATATATATATATAAAATTAATTTAATTAATTTAATTAATTAATATATATAAAAATAATTTAATATATATTAATATATGTGTTACAACGTGACACATAATTTATATATATTAAAGATGGTATGAATGTAAAAAGTTACTATTAATAGGTTATGTTAAGTAAATATTATATGTTTGTATAATTAAATTATTAATACACATATATATATATATATATATAAGTTATTCATACTTTCATCAATTTCTTAAACCAATTTCGTTAAAATATGTGCTATAGGTAATGCCTGACTATTAATAATGTTTGCTATAGTTAAAGACTCATTTAGAATAGAAATTGCGACGTTCTTTAACGATAGTTTCTCTCTCTCTCTCTCTCTCTCTTTCTCTCTCTCTCTCTCTCTCTCATTTTTATCAAAAATATGAAAAAAAAAATAAAAATGATAGATAATTGGTATTGGTATTGGTATATGAAACAATTTTAAAAATCAATTTAAAAATGTTATTATACTTTAACGGATTATTTAAACAATTTTTATATATTTTTTTTTTTTAATATTTAATTTATTAACTTCCTCCTCCTCCTCCTCCTCCTCCTCCTTTTCACATTTATCAATGGAAAATATTACTATTGGTTCATACATACTATTGGTTCGTTATTAAATATTTCTCTAATAAATCATTCAACTATATACACACACACATACATTTATATCTTTTCATTAATTAAATGATTCTTAAGAACAAATATTCCAACAAAAGACACTCTCATATTTCAATAAAAAGATAAATATTACTTACAAAAGCTTTTTAATGAATACGAAAGAAAGAAAGAAAAAAAAAAAAAAAAAAAGATAAAAATACATTTAAATCAAACATGATTTCACAAAGAAGTAAAGTATACACACACACATATATATATATATATATGGATTGATTATTCATGAATTCATCATGAACGAACATGTATACATACACATGGTGTTTCTCATGTGTCAATGAATCATCCTTGTCATTGAGAGAAAATATATCCATAGTGTAACTAATATAATGAATATTTAAAAACGTATTTAAATACCAATCAAATCCAATGATGACAAATACTGGTCTAATATTTGTACACAGACACACACACACAGACGCACATTTACACATATCCAGAAAGCCCAAGCAAGAAGCCCAGGAAGGCCAGACATTCCTTATTTTATCAAAGCTGAAAGTTTGTCTGTGCATGCATACCCTTATACAGGTAAGAACGATCAGTTACTATACAGTTTGGGTTATGGTTACTTGGGTAGGTAACAGGTAGTAAAGGTGTATAAAATAGTACCTTAATTTCGATAGAGTATAAAGCTGAATCTTAATATATATATAAATTACGTGTCACGTTGTTTGTCCGCAATGGACTCCCAAAATACTGAATAGATTTTAATGAAATTGTGCATACTGTGTGCAGTTTCATCCAACTTGAAAGATAGGATAGTTTATCTAATCTTAATATATATATAAATTACGTGTCACGTTGTTTGTCCGCAATGTACTCCTAAACTAATGAACCGATTTGAATTAAATTTTGCACATTGTGTGCAGTTTCATCCAACTTGAAAGATAGAATAGTTTATATCTTAATTTATAATCGCAATATTATTTGTTTATTAACAAAGGGTCATGATTATCTCTGTTAGTTCGATAAGATTCTAACAGATGACGGTATAAGGTAATTCGTTAACTTAAAGACGTGTGTATTGTAATTAATAATTAAATTACATAAACATATAACACTTGTTTAACATAACCTATTAACAGTAAGTCTTTTCTTAAATACACACATATACATATAATACAATCTAATATTAAATGATATAATTTATTACAAAATAAAATAATTTCATTCTTATACACTTACAAATATATGTATGTGTGTTAATAGTTATTAAA